TATCATCAAGTCGTGCGTCACGCAATCCTGTATTACATATCACCCATTGATATTGTATAGCTAACTAACTGCCTGCTGATGGTAAAAAAGAAAAAAAATAACTATTTTTCAAGAACAAAATGAGGAATTCTAAAAGCAGACGAGCTGTCCAACATTTTAGTTAGTTTGGTGCGTATGCAATGAGATGTACTATCTCTAATATCAAATATAAGACCTAGTTGGCTAATTTGAGGAGATTAAGAAAATAAATTAAGTTTAGTTATTTGTAATAAATAAGTGTTGTCTTTTCTAAAATATCTTTACTAATCAAGTGTATTGGCTAAAATTATTATTATTAGAAAGACTACCTTAGGGGGAAAAAGTATAAATATGAGAGACAAAATGGATTTGGATCTTATATTTAAGACCAAAATAAAAGTCAAAATAGGTCTTATATTAAGGATTGGAGGTAGTATAAGTTAATATAAATTACGTTTGTAATATAATAAATATCATCTCTACTTTTACTTACAAGACTTTGTTTTAGAATTTTTTTATAATCTCTAATTAAGACCTTTTATAAAAATATATATATGAAGTATTACCTCCAGCTCTTAATATAATAGTTAGTTTGACATTTAATTTGATCCTGAACTTAAGATCTCAATTCACTTTATCTCTTATATTTATCTATTTTTTCAAAGTAGTCCATGTGATAGTTGCAAATATTAAAAGACTCATCAAATTGTAGTTTTAGCTAATATACATGATTAACAATGGTATTCTAGAAAAAAAAAACAATGGATATTTATTACAAATAACAAACTTAACTAATTAGGTTTTATATTAAGGACTGAAAGTGGTAGTTTTTATCTTCTTTTTTTTTTTGAAATATGCCATCAATTATTCATGAAGTACATTTGACTTTGGGACAAAAGTTAAAAACTTTAATAAAAGTTATACTTATAGAATGTCATGATAATTTTTATCAGAATGTAAGAGCATTAATAATTTTAACCGCTTTTCTTAACTTTCACCATGCGTTTGGACATTAGACTGGGATGACCGAACCCACTTCTGCAAATTCAGTTTTTATTGAATGATTCGGTTAAAAAAAAAAAAAGATGGTTTGGAGTTCTCTAAAAAATATAGAGAAAAACTGAAAAAAAGGGTCAATGAGATCATTAAATAAAACCTTTTGAGTAACAACTTATTTAAGAATTTGTTTTCTAATAAAGCACAATAACGTTAAACAATTTGTATAATCATTATAGCTGATGATCTCACCTAATAGAATAAAACTTGTTATTATCTTCACTAGTACAATCTATTAATTTTCTCATATTTTAAATTTATCCACACGAGACTAACTAGTTAACAGAGAGATATATTCGAAAATTGATAAACTGATTTATATTTTCACCCAAAACCAGCTAGTTGGACACTATTTTCACAGATACTGTGGTTAGCCAACACGTGCACCCACTGATAAATTAAGAAGACACACTTAGAAGCTGTATATAGAATTGGGAAATATCTAAAAGACTCACCAAGAAGAGGTCTTCTATTCAGAAAGGGGATCAAACCAAACTGGAAATGCCACCTTTGATTCTTAATATAAGAAACTAAATAATTAATTAGCAGATATTAAGAAAATTAGTTAAGTTAGTTATTTGTAATAAATGTGTGTTGATTTTCCTATAATATACTTTTGATAATTATGTGCATTGTAATTACTTCTTGATGGGAACCCTTTTACTATATGCAATCAATAGGAATATGGTGAAAAAATTATAAATTTAGAAGACAAAGTAGATTAAGATCTCTATATATTTTTTTATATTTTTATATTTAAAATCGGAGGTGGTATTTACTAATATTGATTAGGCAAGATTAGCTTGACATTAGCTATACATTCTGGGGGCAGGGGGAGGATGGATTTTGTTGGGTTTGAGAAGTAAAAAGTAGAGTGCACTTGATGGCAAAAATGCAAGATCCAGCTTGACATTGGCCAAACATGTGGTCCTAAGTTATATGACAACAAGGCAACAATCAAAATCTCTCTATATGATGAGATGAATAGGCATTTCATCAAGGAAAATGTTAGTACGAGTTATTTGATGGCTTATGTCTATTCAAGAGCAAGTGACATGGATTCTAATCAAATAATTACCCCACTATACTTTTGAAGAGATAGGGCTTGTTTGAAATGGTGATGAGCATAAGCCTAAAAGGGAAGTCCATCCTAAAAGACTAACCTATCAGGAAGGTGAGTCCCTTAACCTTATAAATCACACAATACATATGAGGTTTCTTAATTTGAGACTCATAACAATACACCCTTTTGAGAGCTTACATCCCCAGCGGCTACATTCTACAGCACTTCATATGGTTTTCTTATTGGTCAAAACCCTCCGCATGTAGCCTTTCTGATTGGGCGACCCTCCATGAAAACACTAATGCGATGAGCATGAGCCTAAGGAGAGAACCCATCCCAAAAAACTAGCCCATCAGGAGAGAGAGCCCCTTGAACTTATAAACTCTATAACGCTTGTGAGATTGACTCATAACAGAGCATCCTTCTTCAGAGCCGACGTCCCTGACAGCTCCACTTTACGGTACTTCACTCAGTGCTTTAATTAGTATCCTACCGATCAACCCCTCTAGTCAGAACCTTCTACAAGTAGCCTTCTCCAGTTGGCCAACTTTTAATAAAAGTACCAATATAATGAATATAAGCTCAAAGGGAAAGTCCATTCCAAAAGACTAGCCTATTAGGAGGGAGAGCCCCTTGAACTTATAAACTACACAATACTTGTGAGACTTCCCAATATAGGACTTATAACAATTACACATCAATTCGTATCAGAGCTAGACTGGCAGTAATTCTAGAGAGGGCTACCTATAGAGCGTTCTAATTGGTAGGATGCCAAGTGAAGTATCATAGAGTACAGCCGCTAGGACGTTGACTTTGCACGAGGGGCCAATTGATGGGGATTTGGTAGTATGAGATACCAAGTCCCACATTGAGTAAAATGTGATGCTGAATGCAATATTTAAGTTGACTAGTTTACCCACTTAAATAGCTAGTTTATAGGGTGAGGTTCTCCATTCCCACTTAGATACCCATTAAATGACTTATAAACATCTTTTTAATTATAATTTATGGAATATGAAGTAAGTATATGATAGGAGTTTTGTCTCAATTTATATAAAAATGCTTATAAGCATTTACAATAAAGCAGATGCAAACAAGCCCCTAATCAATGAATGAATTAGAGATTATAACCGTGCTCAAATCCCTATATATTAGGGATTAGGGATTTATGCAAACAAATCAATCATGTATAATTTTTCTTTCTATTACATTTACAGGAGATTAGAGATTGGTTTATTGGATTTGATGTAACTATTTGTATACATTCCCTGCATTACAAACTATTTATGCACATGCTGAGTACAAAACCTTTACATTTAAAAAATTTTTTATTCTTGATTATAAAAGGATTCGCAAACGTTCATCTATTTGTGCAATTCTAATTAATTTCTAAATAAAAGTGGTAATTTGAGGTTTCATGATCAATTTCTTACCAAAAAAAGGGCACAAGATCTTTTTTTTTGTCATTAAATAGTACTTCGTTGATATTTTAGCGGCTTATGACGCGTCCAGCACCAAGTATTTTATCATATGCGTTCAACATGTTAAAGTATTTTGTGATGAGTCCATTACCATAAAGGTTTTTTTTTTTAATGCATCCAACACTCTAAAAATTTTGTTGCATAATTTTGTTAAGCATTTGTGCTTAGTATTATTTCATGAGCAATTTTAACTTTATTATTGACACCTCAAAAAGTCCATTAAATGAATGTATATCAAGCATGATAAAGTATTTTTTTTGGGTATTTATTAGGATATTGGATGTACTTGAAAAAAATTTTAGGTGTTGGATGAACTACAAAATATTTTAGGGTATTATATGCATACGAAAATACTTGAAGGTATTTAAAGTGTTAGATATACCTGGCAAATATTTCAAGATATTAGAATTACCATTTTAATTGTTGTAAGAATAGTAGTTTTCAATTCTAGATGTAATGCAAATTTATGGTTTTAGTGCTTAGTTTAAAGAATTATTGTTGAAAGAATATTCTAAAGGATTGATAAAATTAGTATGACTTATTTTTCAGATTTTATATGCCACATGTGCTTATATTATTAATGTTAATCATTTAATCAATATTAATAATTATTGAAATCTATTCAAACTTTTTGTATAAACAGAGTAAATATAATTTTTAGTCTTTAAAATTTGAGTTCATTTTAGTTTTGATTCTTCAAATTTTAAATATATGATTTTAGTCTTTGAAATTTAGTTTGTCTTAAACCATTAGTTCTTGAAGTTGTAACTGTGTCAAAATCCACTGAAGTATCGTGAACATTGCTCCTATGTAGATAACAGAATGATTATATAGAGAGAGATGAATTCTCAAAACGTGAATAACATCTCAAACGAACAACAGGGAAGGAAAAAAAGGGTTAAATAGCAGCATTTTGAGGACTTATTCTTTTTCTCCCTTTGTTAACCACACAAGATTTAATTATGTGTTATTGAGTGACTTCACATTACCACTTAATGCAATTTACGATGCTTTCGTAGATTTTAATACCATTATACCTTTAAGGACTAATGTTTTAAGATAAACTAAATTTCAGGTTTGACACCATGAATTTAAAATTTGATAACCAAAATTAAAATAATGCCAAATCTTACAAAAAATGTGTTAACCAAAAAAATAAGAATGTATTTTTTGTTTTGTAAGAAAAATTAAAAAAAGCCCCGATGAAAAACCTTCAACGACAAGTCCCATTGACCTACAGTAAGCTAAACGACGTGCGTCGCAGCTCACGCGTACGAACACAAACTGAACTGATCGAACAAAAGCCCTGGAACCTGAACGAAAGCCGCGTGAGCTGCTTTTTTGTGTGCGCAGCTGGGAGAAGCACCGTTTTGGTCATTCCATCGTCCGGCCGAGATCTCTTCGCTTTAACTCCGTCGTAGGTCGTCGTCATGTCTCAGGTGAATGCCCTCGCATTCCTTTAGTTATCTGAGTTTATTCTGCCGGATTTCAATTTCTTGTGTTTCTAGGGTTACTTCGAACCCTATCAAAATCATCTGATTCATACTGTCCATATTTGAATTAGTGGCGTATTAGGGTTTTATTTATCAATTCTTGTTAATAGTTTGATTAAGAGGAAAAATGGGTTCTGATGCGTAGACTAGTTTGGTTGGGGCTTGATCGTGCCCCAAAAAATTGGTCAGAATTTGAGGCCCTGTGAACTCCATGGTTTCCTGATAATTTTTGGTTTCTTTCCTTTGCTTGTGCCTGCAGGTTGATAATCGAAACTCTTCAGCGGCCAAGCGTGCCCGTACTGATGGTGCGTGATGCGTCGTATATGTTCTTGTTTATTGACACCGTTTTCTTTTCCTGATATATATGGATTCTTAAAATTTCTGTTGCCACCTTTTCACCCTCTCTCTTCCCATGTCATCATCTGAGGTTACCACGTACACATGAGACTCCATACTGTAATTTTTGCATAAACAGGATGGCACATTTACTACCCGCTTGTCATACACACTCAGTTCCTGAAGATTTGATCTTCTATAAATTTAGATCTCTAAGGACACACCATTCTCTCTTCGTGACATATGGTTCCCAACTCTTACTTGATGCTCTGCTGTAATATTGACTGTGCTTGTAGGTAGTCGCAGGGAAGATGATTGGACGTGCCCTAGCTGTGGCAATGTCAATTTCTCTTTCAGAACAACATGTAATATGCGTAACTGCACTCAACCCAGGCCTGCAGATCATAATTCGGTGAGTTGTGGAGTTTAATATCCTGATTTCCTCTTAGGAGAATTTGCATAGCGAAATGATGACGAATTTCAGTGACTTGCTGAAAAGCTACAATTAGTAGCCTTGTCATTTCATCCTTTGTTTTTTTTTGGCTATTTATATTAGGGTGCCACTTAAATGTTAATGATTAATTCCATTTAGCTGGACTCTGGCATAATTTACAATTTTCATAAGATATTTCTTGGTCTTAAAGCTATCCTACCATCAACATATTAGATATTTCTCAATTCCTTTCCAGAAATCTGCTGCCAAGCCTCTACAAGCTCCCCAGGGTTATACATCCTCCAATCCTTATGTTGGTTCTGGTGCTCCCTCTTCAATGTATCTTGGTGTTCCACCATATGGGTCTTCTTTATTCAATGGGTCATCAATTCCTCCATACGATGTTCCATTTTCTGGAGGATCAGCGTATCACTACAATTATGGAAGTCGTCTTTCTGCTGGCAGTCCTTACAGACCACTGCATTTATCTGGACCAGTACCGTACTCAAGTGGATCCATGTTGGGAAATGGTATGTTTTGTTTTGCTTAATTATATTGTTCAAATCAATGCCCCTCCTCTCCAGAAGAAGGGAAAAAATGGAGGGAGGGAGGGAGAGAGATAACACATGCTTGTTATTGAGATGACATTTTAGGTTTATGAAGGGAGAAAAGAGGGATGAGTGGCAAGGAGAAATCGGATATTCCTGCCCTTTGTATTGTAATGACTGATTAGTTATTAATCTTTGATGTATACTATTGTCTCTTGTTGAATGTTGAGAGGTTCTTTGTGATGATAACATACCTTTTGCTGAATTATTTTGTAGGTGGCATGTATGGAATGCCCCCTCTGGTGGACCGGTATGGCCGGGGTTTGCCGATGGGACCTGGAACTATGGTATGAATCATTAGATCATACTCATTTAGAGCTTTGAATATCAGTACCCTTCTGCTGAGAAAATTAATTTGTTGTCGGAATATCATGCCTCCCACTGATGGGTTGATGTGGCCTTAGTTTGCCCATGTAAACCCGTCACCTGCTGACTTTTTCCTTCCATTTCATTGTTTCTTGGTGATGTTAGTTCTTGAGTTTTCATGTATATATTACTTGTTTAGTTGATGTTATATGTTCTTGCAAGTTTTGACAGCCTCGTGAAGTTGCTTTTAACTTGTACATACTAATGAAGCATTTCTTTTTATTTACACGTTGGAATTTTTAGTATTTCATTTATTAACTTTAGAAACTAAAACTTATCAAGGTTTGGGATCTTAAAGGATTTTTCATGTTTGAAATTAATAGTTAATATTTTTCTGAGCAGGGCCCTAGGCCAGGGTTTTTTCCTGATGACAAGTCTCAGAAAAAAGGTTGTGGGTTTGTTGTGTCAACTATTTATGCTTGGTTGTAATGGAAGCTTCTTGGCTTATACTCAACTTTTTATGTCTAGATTGCAACTCGTGACAATGACTGGACATGTCAAAATGTGGCAATATCAACTTCTCATTCCGAACAGTATGCAACATGAGAAAGTGCAACACACCAAAGCCTGGATCACAGGTTTGCTGCCTCTCCCCATCTTTTTGCAGATTGATTATCTGTGATGGTTATGGGTGTCACCAACGTAATGATTGACATTGACTTATAGTGCAAATTTGATGTTCATTACAAATCTTTGAGTGCTGTTTAATCTACAAATTTTTGACAAGAATATTGTGGCAGGTTTCTAAATCAGACAAAAATTCTAGAAGTAAACCCCAGTCTGTCACCCCGTATGTAATTATCTGATACTGATCATCAGTTAGTAATTGCATTTTTTCTCTTTCTGCCTCCTTGTGATTTAGAGCAAAAGATGCCTGAGGGCAGTTGGAACGTGGTGAAAAATGTAACAACGTAAACTACCCATTCAGAACCAAGTGCAATAGACAGAATTGTGGTGCTGATAAGCCAACTGAGCAATACCAATAAATCTCCTTCCGCGGCATCAGATCAAAATGATCAGGTCTGTTGTATATAGAACATTGCCTTTGTGTAGCCATCCTGCATGTTTGCAATCATATGGCTGTTTGCAGACCTTGTATGCATAATGAACCTCATAAATGTCAAGCCGATGCAAAAATTGTTAGTTAAGTGGATTGGAAAAATTTCACACGTCCTTCATT